GCCTCCTGCTTCTGTGGGGACGGGGCACCATGCTGGGGGAGGTGAGCTCGGCTGAGTCCTAACAGTGAGGGGTGCAGACGCAGGAAACATTCTGGGGTGGGGGGGGCGGTCACGCTCGTTACAAGTTCATCTGTCGAGGCAGAGTGGGAGGCTCGGTGGGCCTGAGAGCGCCTAGGGCCGCAGCTGCGAGGCAAGCTGGGCTGGGCAGGTGGGAGGGGTGCAAACAGGGCCTCTCTCAGTCATTTGGCGGACCCTGCAGATTTACTCCCGCGCCCAGTACTGGGCCAGGCGGGGGCCCGCCCCTAGGAAACTCACACTCAAAAACGGTGGGGACTGGGGACGGAGCACAAGCCTGTAAACAAGTGAGCAAGTAAATAAGGTCGTCTCAAGCAGCAGCGCCTTACAAAGAAAACAAAGGTCTGGTGTTAGTAGCGATCTTAGTCCCTCATTCACACATCCATTCATTACTGAACAGTGTGTATTGAGCAGCTTGTATATCTCAGGCCCTTTCCAGATAGGGGAATACATCGGTAAATAAAAGAGCCCAAACGCCCCTGTTCTCAATGAGGTATCCTGCCTGTGTGTGTACCTGAGCGGGGAACCCACCTGTCTGCACTGGCACGGCAGTGTGGGCGCACAAGAACGTGGGTTCCCTGGAAGAGAAAGGAGATCCCGGGCAGACAAGAGTGCAGCTTTCTGTCCTGGCCTACAGACCCTACCAGCAGCTTCTGCTAAGAGGAAGCTGTAAAAATCCTCTGTTATGGGGTGCCTGGGTGGCTCAGTCGGTCAAGCGTCCGACTTCGGCTTGGGTCGTGATCTCACGGTTCGTGGGTTCGAGCCCCACGTCGGGCTCTGTGCTGACAGCTCGGAGCCTGGAGCCTGCTTCGGATTCTGTGTCTCCCTCGCTCTCTGCTCCTTCCCCACTCATGCTCTGTCTCTCTCAAAAAATACACATAAAAAAAGAAAGAAAGAAAGAAAGAAAGAAAGATCCTCTGTTCTCCAGAAAGCTCTCCGTGGCACAGCCCTCCTCCCTTCTGCCTGCTCTTCCTGTCTGAGGGACTGCTCCCACCTTCCAACATGGCCTGCGTCATCATCAGGAGTGGCCATGGGGCCAAGGTCAGCAGAAGGGCCCGAAGGAGGGCTTGGGGTTAGGCTGGCCTCCGCACCACAGGGAGGCTCCTTCATACTGCTCGCCCGGCCACTTGCTGAAAAACTAATCTGCAAATGAATCACATTTACGGAGGCCTTCTGGATCAGATAACAGATGCAGCCAGGCCTGTTCCAGAAGACCATCCAGACGAGAAACCCTGAAAGCTTCTGTGGACAAAAGGAGGCCTGCTGGCCGAGCCTCACCGCTTGTGTGAGCTCCTCACTGGAGGTGTGTTGGTGGGTATTTGGAAGCCTCTCCTGGAAGCCGAGACTCCAGGTTCCATCTCTGCAAGAGCTTCTGGAGCAGAGGCTGAGCCCGGCAGCCGGGCACTCCCGGCCGGCTCTCTGGATTGGTTCTCCTGGAGCCCCTCGGAAGCAACCAGGAGCCGTCTCTCCCCTCCCTGGCCATCTGCTTGAAGCATCTGGTGATCAGGTGCAGGCCCCACACCGGAGCATTCAAGCTGAAATGTGCAGTCACCTTGCCGCCCACACTGGCTTTTGTTATGCCGCCAGGCTGCCCTTCTTTGTGTTGGGGAGAACGGTTTGGGGATGGAAATCCGACTGCCAGCGCCGGGAGTTCGTCATGACTGTGCTGAGATCCTGCAGCCGGTGGCTGGCCCAGCCTTCAGCCTCGGCTCTCCCCTCCCACCAGGGCCTGTGGACACGTCTCCAGCGAGAGGCTGGGGCTTTCGGGAGGAGAGAGTGGCAAAGATCCTTCTTTGATGTTCTCTTCACCCAGCTGGGTAGAGCAGGTCGCACGTATTTGGACCCTGCCCTAAAGGAGAAAGACTCGTCAGTTTTCTCTGTGTTCTCTTTATTTAATAAAGAAAGAGTGGGTTGCTCCCAAAGCCGCTGCTGGCCCCAGTGAATGGAGCTCTTCAGGAGGTGGCTGTCTGCGGCCACCCGTGAGGGGGTGTGGGGGGGGAGACCTGCTCCTGAGGTCTCTTTCCTCTGTCATGGCAACCCGAGTGTCTTGGAGGGCCACGGGGGTGTCCGTACTGTTGAAAACATCCTTCGCTCCAAGCTTGAGCTCTTCTAGCTGAGCACTCAAGGAGTAATGTGGGGCAATTCGCCTCGAGAGAGGGGACACATTTCCCTTTCTGAGCCTCGAGGACTCCGCCGAGAGCTAGAAACTCCGGGCAAGAAGAGGTGCTTTTGTTTATTTTTGGTCTTGTAAAACATGGCCCCAAATGATACCTCCCCACACAAGGGGGAGACCAGTCCTTGAGGGTGCCAGAGCCCATGGGTGCCGCCTTTACAGGTTCCTCTTCTGGAGGGAGTCCAAGGTAAAAGGTTTCGGAAGACCTCACTGAAAAGAGAACGGGGCTGTGTTTGAGACTATTCAACGGTGAGTCATAGTTTATTGGCAATAGACTCCTTTACTCATTTCTAACTACTTGATGTGATCTTAAAGATGACAGTGAGGTCCTACTGCGTATTGGGGGTGCGCTATCTGTCCCTCTTTCTAGATTAGCTATGGGCATTATTCTGGAATATTCTCAACACCAAGAAACAATTCTGTCAAAACAAGAAGCCCTGCCCAGGCCCCAGTCTCTGTGTCCTCACTCCTCCCGACAAACCGTGTCCGGGCCCATCGTGACAGTCAGTCTACTGTTGCTGAAGCCACTGCCTGTTGGAATTAGTGCAACATTTTGTTCTTGAGAGGTGCAGAGAAAGAGTAATGAAGTCAGATCTCAGTCCCCAGGTATTTTCCTGAGATGATGGGAAGGACTGAATGCGCAGTCATGGGGAGCTGGGTGTGGGTGGGGCCGGAAGAAGGCTACGTGTGAAAGGAGAGCCCAGTGACCTCACAGGCACGTTCACTGCCGGGCAGCCCACCATGTCCGCACTTGCCATTCTTCTGCCCGGCACCCTTTCGCTTCCAGACACTTCCCGCTAAGGTGACCGGAGAGAAAAACAGGCGATTTTGATGTTGAATTTTTGGAACCTGTAAAAATTTCGTGGTTAATCCACCGCCTTAGCAGGAAAATATGAGAAAATCTTTAATCTTAGACACTGGGACGAAAGCTGAGATTTTCAAAGGTATAGAAGAGGCTGATATTAGTTTCAGGCATAATCCAGTTTTTAAATGTTTCCATATGATCGCTTCAGTATGTCAATATTAGATTTTAAACACACCCCGAGGATCTTTGATTATAAAGATCTGATCTTTCTCTCCCTCTTAACCAGCACATGCGTGTAACACGTGTGCTATTTCCCTCGTGAAGCGTTGCTGCCCCGCGCGTGTGCCCATGCTGACGCTCCCCTGCGCCCCCCCCCCCCCCCCCCCCCCCCCCCCCCCCCCGCCACAGATGCCCTTCCCGGGAGCGGGGGCTGCAGAAAGGTGGATTCCATTCTGTCGTTGTGCTGGCTTGGCAGTCCATCGCTACTGGCATTAGAGTCCCAAATGTCTTTCTCCCCCACATCTTGGTTGAGCATAAAGATGAGGTCCCATTGGCTTAAGGCGCGGTGCTGGCTTTCTCTGATGGTTGTGCCGTAAGTTAGCAGGATACGTTTGACAGTAATTTAATTTTCATTGACAAATGCTGTCATAATATTGAGAAGAAAGTGATATATTGTATCAACAGTAGTGGTCGACGCTCAGCCAGTCATATGGACTGGGCGAGCACCATATGCTTCTACCAAACTTGCCTTGGAAAGCTCTGGCTAAGAACTTGACAAGCTTAAGATACCAGTCAGGGAAAACGATTACCCTTGAGAAGTTCTCGCCATGTTTCCAGCTTCCTCATTTCCTAGAGGAAAGGCGGGGGCACTTCCTGGGGCAGCCACTCACCATCATGGGTATTGGCCCCAGTTTGCCACTCCGTGGGTCAGGGGATTTCTTTGGGGGCACCCCGAAGGCACTGCCGTGGACCACCTCCCCCGCACCAGGCACCGGCCAAGCAGATCCCCTGCTGACAACCAGCATAATCGAAAGCCCTGAGACGTTAAAACACCATTGATTTCCTGTTGGTTTGTGTTTGTCCCGGCTGCGGTTCCCTCTACTTAATACCAGTGGATGGTGCGTCCGTGTGTGTGAATGGGGCCAGAACCTGAGTCTGGCTTGTGTTACAAACTCGGAACAATGCAAGCAGGAAGGGGGACAGGATTTTGGTCTTGGGAGTGCAGCTCGTGACATCTCCGCTTGGCCAATGAGAAATATGAGTGGACTGTGGGTGCTCGTTGTACGTGGCGCGTGTGTGTCTGACTGGATTCTTAGCTAACGTCTCAGCTAGGTGATTTGATCCAAAGTGTGACAAGGTCAGCCTTCATTTGCTCTTGCTTTCCTAGCACTGAGCTTACTTATATTTTAATTTGGTTACTGTTCACAGGAAGAGCCGCTGATGAGTCAAGTCACAGTCTGGGAGAGAAGAAGGCAGCGTGTGTGTGTGTCTGTGTGTGTGTGTGTGTGTGTGTGTGTGTGCGCGCACACATTCAGGGACACCCCATCCCTGGGTACATTCGGCTGGTGTCCTTGTCTGGTTTGCCAAATATGCGGGGACCTTCCATTCTCTGAAGGATTCCCATCCCAAACAAGGCTAAGTAAAGAAACAGGCATATGGTGCATACTGGAGCTGGCTCAGGGTTGGCACAGTCCATCGGCTGTGGTGAACAGGTATCTGGAAAAGACGGCAGTCCCATCCTGCTCTTTTTGGAGCTTATCGTTTATTTGGATTTTGTTGTTGCTGTTGTGGCTTTGTGTTTATTATTATCTTAACAAAGAGAGGGAGAGGATGCGGTCCGCGGAACCGGGCACCGGTACAGCTCCTCTCCCCAATGGCTCCCTGCCTGAGCCCGGAGCTGTCCTTCCTGTGAGGCGTTCTCCTGTTGCACCCCCGATGGATTCCCAGCTCCCGGGCGCTCTGGCTGGGAGCGAGGACTGCTCCGAGGGTTCCGTGGGGGCATCTCAGTGCAGACGGCCTTCCGAAGGCAGCGAGAGTTCCTGGGTGTGGCCGAGGGTGTCCTTGGTCTCCAAAGAGAGTGTTGACTTGAAAAAGCGGGGCAGATTGGAGGAGCAGCTGCCCTCCTTGTGGATGGCATCCGTTGGTGGCTGTGTAAAGAGGAGCTCCGGACTGCCTCCCATTACCATTTCATTACGCGACAGCAGATCCATACACAGATCCATACGCTGCCTCTTGGACGGGGTTTCCAGACACAGCAGGACATGCGGAGAGAGCTTACCTCCTCTTCTGCCTGCTGGAAACCCAGCTCCCTGCCATGTGGCGCTTTCTGAGCTGGCGGCTTCAGGCTCACTCCCGGCAGCCCAGATGATGGGTGCAGCCCTTCTGTGGGCCACTCGTGCTCTGTGCGAGGTGCCAGTGGCTGTGCCATTCTCCAGAAGAGTCTCCAGAGAGAAAGTATCAAGAACAAGCCCAGCTAACGTGCATTTTCTCACCCAGGTCCCTCTGGCCTTGGAGTCTTGCTCAGCGGGCGCACCCGCTTCTAAATGGGGCAGCCATTAAAAGTGGTGACCATCTGGAGGGCCTGGGGGGCTCCGTCAGTTAAGCGTCCGACTTCGGCTCAGGTCACGATCTCACAGTTGCTGGGTTCGAGCCCCGCATCGAGCTCTGTGCTGACAGCTCAGAGCCTGGAGCCTGCTGCGGATTCTGTGTCTCCCTCTCTCTCTGCCCCTCACCTGCTCGCGCTCT